ACTACCTGCCAGGTGTTGTGTCTCAGAATAGCCCCGGCTTTATCCATGTAAAACCTGAGGCCTGTGAAGGCACCACCTCTGTCAAAAGTGGAGGCAAAGTATTTAGTTTATTTGCAGTACTTCTGAGATCAGGGACAAGCTGTCACAGTGTCTTACCTCATCGAAGACATCCTGGTGTTTGGAGAGGACAGGCCCAGTGAAGAGGTGCTTAATGACACTGAGGTCCAGGATCTGGTTGCCAATGGCCACTCCTATCCGTTGCCTTGGCTGGGAGGAAGATGGCATAGTCAGTACTGGCAAAAGCTTCTGGTAGGCTGAGCTCATTTAGTCAAAAGCCTGTGGGTCCCCCTTTTAGATTGCCCTTATGGTGAGGAAACTGAGGGACTGGATCCTCAGTATCCTATCCCAGCTCCCTTCTCTGTTTCTGGGACAAGAAAGAAAAAGAATCTGTGTTCCCTTGCCAGGTTTGGTAGTGCATGCCTATAATCCTAGTGGATTAGGATGCTGAGGCAGGAGGATCACAAGTTCAAAGCCAGACTCAGCAACTTAGCAAGGCCCTAAGCAACTTAGCAAGACCCTGTCTCAAAATAAAAAATAAAAACGACTGGGGATGTGGCTCAGTGCTTAGGCACCCCTAGTACCAAAAACAAAATAAACCAAAATCTATGTTCCCTCAATGGGGAATCAAATCAAGTAAATCTTACCCCTTGGAGTAGAGTGAGAACAGGCAGCCTGGTCCAAGCCCCTTTTCCAGTCTCAGGAACTTCCCCTGAAAAGTTCCCCAGACATTTCTTAAATGCCTTCAGTGGTGAGGAGCGCACTACCTTACCAGGCAGCTGGATTCTTTTTTGCTTTGACCAGGCCTTTACTCAGGGCAATTCATTTGTGCAGCAGAGCAGTGAGTGTTCCACGCACAGTGCTGAAAGCCAGATGGCACAGAATAACAAGCTCTGCTGGGGCTCAAATAGAGGAGAGCTCAGGTCGTGGGAAGCTGCACAAAGCCACATTGTGCAGACCATGTCAGGGGCATTCTTTTCTGCACCATAAAATCTCAGCATCAGCTCTGACCAATGAGATGCTTCAAATATTTGGCAAAACCTGGTTTTTGACCCCACAATCCTGAACTTTGCTAGTCAACTAGGAATGGAGAACCTGCTTACAGACTCTACCCGATAGGGCTCTATCTATCCTCAGCCAGCTTCCAGATCTCCTAAACCATTCCCTTTGCCTTTTTAGTTCTAGAGAGCTGAGAAGTGGGATTCCTGGCTGGCCTCATCTCCATCGGCTGCTCATTTTGGTTGACTGAGAGAATACTCGCTAGCCCCTGGGATCAGGGTACACCAGAGCCATGCCCTCCCCTGGCCCAGAGTTCACAAGCACATCTGCCCTGGAGGAGGCTGCCTGGAGAGCCTGGTTACTCATTCTCAGCTCTGCTAACTCTCTGGGCCTTAGTCTCACCCTCTGGAATATGGCAACTGCTGTGAAGGACACAGAGCTGAGCTACCTAGATCCAAGTGGCCATACATTCAGCCAATGTGCAAGGCAGATCCTAGAGCCACTTCTGATCTTTACCCTCACATCTAGCTTAAGGTAAGAAGGTATTAAGCAACCTCTAAGATCTAATAGAAAACTGGGTTGTTAGTTTTGGAAACTGTGAAGAAAACCTAGAAGCTTCAGATGGCAAGTTATTGCCCTTGTGTTCCAAAGTGTGACCTGAGGACCCAGAAAACCAGTTTGATAGAGTGGATCCATATACTTTTAACCTTTAGAATTATTTTCTTCAGTGTCAAACTAGAAGGGCTCCTGGCCTGTTCCATCACTTACTATCCCATTCACCCTGGAAAAGTCAGTCCCTGGTGCTCTGAGCCTCAGTTTCCCCTTCAACTTGAGGCAAATAAACTAGGAAAAGACATCCCCCCTGACTTGCATCATTGGAAGAGAAACTATGAAATTGGGAGGTTGACAGATGTGAAGGCCAATCCCAAATCTGCCTCTACTGGCTATGAGATCCGAAGCATGATTCTTAGCTTCTCTGAGCCTTAGTTTCTTCATCTGTAAAATGGGGGGAAATAATGGGGGTTTGTTGTGAGAATTCAATTAGTATCTGTCAATCTCTTAACATAAGAATAGACATGAGTAGACACTATTCATAGCACAAACATTTATGAAGCATTTCTTTGGCACTAGTACTACAGGAATGCTGCAAAATCACCAGAGAGAGAGAGAGAGAGAGAGAGAGAGAGGAGCAACTTGGTTCTTGCCCTCCAGAAGTAAAGGGCAACACAGGGTGTGGTAGGAGATACCAACCATGGAAGGGCTCATTCACAGGATGCTTAGGGACAATTTTCTGAGGGGCTAACATTTAAGCTGACTCCTGAAGAATGAGAAGAAATAAGGATATACAGACTAGAAGGAAGGGTAGTCTGGGTAGGAGAAATAACAAGTGCTAAGGCCCTGAGGCAGGAAACTCTCAGTGTGTCTCAAAGACTGAAAGGTAGCCATTAAGGCTGAAAAGAACAGAATCCAGGAAATAGAGGCAGGGCCAAATCAGGGACTTTACCAAGGCACTAAGCAAATCAACCTCCAGACTCCTGCTGGCCCATTTCTCAGAGGCCCCTGAAACTGCTTTCACAGAGAACATCATTATGTGTTCACTAGTATTCCATGAGCAATCAGACATTGGAGGGAAGGTGTCTCCTATATCTTTGATCCCCAACTCCCAGCATAGCATCTGGACCCAAATTAGGGGTTCCTAAGCAATGGTTGAATAAAATAAAATGATAACTAGATTAATTCATTGTTGTTCCATTCAAATTAAGGACTAGCTGTGGACTTAGGGGAAAGGAGGTTATTGCCTTGACCACCAGGGCACCCTAGAGAGGCAGCCACCACAAATGGGGTTTCCAATCACTTAAGTGACACAGTTAGATAAGGTCTATATAAGCTTGGAGGCCCTGAGCTTCTGGAAGGTCAAATGGGCCAATTCTCTGTCACAGCACTCTTTATCAGAGGTCAGTGGAAAGGGGTGCTCTCTCCCAGAAATCCTTAGAGGCTGCCTTGAACATTCTAGCAATTGCAGGGCATGAGGTCTGAAGGTCCCTAGTCACATACCAAAAGGCATTAATTCCAGATAGCTCCTAGGAAAGCAAATCAGAGCTCCCTACTAGTGGGTGCTAGCATCTCAGAAATGTTCTGGTTTAAGGGATTTGTGCCCTCAGGAAAGGTGAGGACTTATTTGCTAAGGGCAAATGTTAGAGGAGGGCAGAGGGAGGGTACTGCCATCAGAGACACTGGTTGGCTAACACAGGTTAAGCTTTAACATGTCTCATCTGTGTGTCTCTTCAGGGCACTTTTTGTATCCTTGTAACATCCAATGAGATCTGTCAGTTTTAAAACCACAAGTCACCTCCTCTAGATTAAGTCATTCACTGCAGGCAGGACCCCAAAAGGACAGGTACTTGGAGTCAATGAGCAGCCATGGAGGAAGGGAACCCAGTTTCCAGGAAGGGGCCAACAGCCAGGGCTCCATTTAGCAAACATTTCCTAAATACTGTTAGGTGCAAGCAGATTTGGGGGTTCTACGGCTCCCAGAACCGAATAAGGAGTAGGATCAGGGACCTAAGAACAAAAATCTACTCATAAATCCAAGCAAGGGAATCTGCTTTTTGCACCAGGAGATCCTCTTGTATATTTGCTGATAAACGTCCAGTTTTCAAAGATTTATTTCTAACCACACTACATTTACAAGTCAAGGTTCGTTTCCCCCACCCACTCAAAGGGCTTCTAATTAGCAAGGGAAGCCAGGGAGCCCATAATAGCTGAGAGAATTCCAAATGGAAGCAGAGACTTGACCTCTTAGATTACACAGCTCTAGGCCAGGAAACACATGCATCTCTTTCAACTGCTAAAAATGCTGGGGTTAGCCAAGCACAGGTGGTGGGGAGCAGCAACTACCTGAGACAGAGACATGAGGATCACGAGTTTGAGGCCAGTCTCAGCAACTTGGCAAGACCCTGTCTCAGAATTAAAAAGGGCTGGCGATATAGTTCAGTGGTAAAGCGCCCTTGGGTTCAATCCCCAGTACACACACACACACACACACACACACACACATACACACACACAAAGGTGGGGGTTAACTGATACTTTTCGGGTTCTGGGGTTAGAAGTTAACTAGAGACATGAATGATCAGCTGTAAGCTGGCTTCTTTGGGGGTAAGAAAACACGCCAGCAATTCTGTATTGGGCAACAGGATTGTGTGCTTCCTCTTCTCGCAACAATAATCGTACTTGCTGACTTGTCTGGGAGGGAGAGTTGCAAATTCTATTTCATTTTGCATTTAATGCCACACAACCCTGCAGAAACAGGCTGAGAGGTTAAACAATGTGCTGAGCCAGGCGGGATTTGATCCCACAGCACTCTCCATGGACCGCTTTTCAAGAAAAAATGACCCATGCCTTCTAGTCGCCCCCGCTCCCCTCCACTCCACGCCCTCCCCGCGCCCGGAGTCGAAGAGCAGCAGCTCACGTTGTCTTGAGTGGAGAAGACGCCATAGGGCAGGTTATGGATGGGGAAGTCACAATCCTCCGCCACTGGGATGAAAGACATGCTGATGAGCACCAGGTAGGGGAGCAAGCAGTGGGCTGAGTAAGAGGAGAGTGACTGGACTGAGCTGCAGGGGTTAGGCCAGGCCACGCCCCCTGTAGACTCCGGCCCGGGGTCCCGGACCTCCCTACACCCACACGGTGACTCGGCCCCGCCCCGACTTCGCCCCGGCCCCGCCCCCGAGTGTCTTGCCCTCCTATTGGTCCTCCCCTCCTAGGGCCCTTCCCCCTCCGCAAGCCCCATCTCCGCCCCGTCCCGCCCCTTCTCAAGCAGCCCTGCCCGCCAGGAGTCTCGCCCCTTCGCATGCCCCACCTCCACGCTTTCTCAAGGCCCCGCCCCTTCCGCAAAGTAGCCCCGCCCTCCAGAAGCCCCGCCCCACCCGCGCAACGTCACAATCGCTCCCTGGTCCCCACTCCTTCCGCTGTCAGTAGCACGCCCTCGGTGACTCTACCACCTTCGGTAGACCTTGTTCGAATTGGCCGCTCGAGCCCTGGGTTCTACTGAGGAGAAACCCAGCTTGGCATTAAGGCCTCTGCCCTGGGTGACTCCTGCCTCCCCCCTTTCCCCCCTGCCGCCTGCTCTTCGGCTCAACAGAGCTCTTGTTCTCTCCCTGGAAACAAGACCCTTTCTCCCCAGAGACTGCCTCCGGCTTTGGAAGAAGCTTCCAGTTGCGTACTTTCCGCCTGCATAAACCACGCTAATCCCTCTGCTGTGACATTTCCAATGGTGTATTGGTGAAGGGGCAGTCGCGCCTGTTTGGAAGCTGATGAGAGTTAACAGTCTAGGAAATATAACTCACCTATTTATTTCACATTCTAGTGTTAATATGAAGTTGCCTTGTCTCTGTCTCAGCTTCTCTGTACAATGTATGTTGATGATAATACTACTTCACACAGTTGATATAAGAATTAGGTGACAATGTTAGAATAGTGCCTGGCAAACAAAGACTATATCGTGTGTTTAAAGAGAGAAAAGGGGAAAAAAATAAAATGAAAGAGGAGGAAAGAAATTAGGGAAGAAAAGCTTAGACCTTAGTCTTCTTTCCAATGCAGATATTTTAGATAAACGGACTCAGATTAACCGGTTGGAGATCCACTTTGACTAGAGTTAATTAGGCATTGACATTAGGTCAAGTTCTCTAATCATCTCTCAAATAGGGGTAAAGTAATATCTACTCCACTATTACTGTAATGGTTAAATAACGCCTGGCACAGTTAGTGATCAATGTTTTTTGTTTGTTTTACCAGGAATATCCAGCCAGAAAGTCAGCTATTCCTTTATTTCTGGGTTTTGCTTTTCTTCACGAAGAAGGCAATCAAAAAGAAAACTATTAAGGTAAAGGGGTCATCACTATGGAAAACAAGTTTAAAATATAAATGTCAATTTCTTAGAAATTTAACAAAACCATTCTTTAAAAACAAGTTTAAAATTACAAGTGGTATAAGTTGCACAATAGTTTATCAAGACATAAGCCTATATTTAAAACACTTTCATTTAATTTATTTTGGATGTTCCCATAACATTACAGTCAAAAGTTAATGAATTACTGGACATAATAAGCAGAATGACTAAAAATAAAAATAAAATAAAAATTTGGCATTTTAAACCCAAATCCTAGAAGGTAGTTTTTTTAATATATTTTTTTCGTTGTTGATGGATCTTTATTTTATTCATTTATATACAATGCTGAGAAATGAACCCAGTGCCTCACACATGTGAGGCAAATACTCTACCACTGAGCCACAACCCCAGCCCTGGAAGGTAGTTTTAAAGAATATTTTTAAAAGTTGCAGTATCATCCTAGGACTTGTAAAAGTAACCTTTCCCCTTCCTAAACATTTAAAAAATGAATAATAGTGATAGACAACCTTGAAATAAAGAATATATTGCTACTCCTTTGCCTGCAGTATCTTGCCCCATTTCTCTTCTCACCCACTGACCTCCTCTCTAAATCACTTTAAGTTATTCTTTCTCAAAGCACACATTTGTCAATAGCAGATCCCAAGTCCCCAAGCAGTTCCTCCCGCTTTTCCTTCCTCTGTCATCACTTGCAGATCACAAGTGAAATATAAACCAAATAACATATAATTTGAGTAATGTATTAGGATTGTAAATGATTCGTGTAAATGAGGACATAGAGGAAGAGAAAGAGAAGTAGAAGGAAAGGATTGAAGGGAAAAAAAAAGAAGGGGGAAGAGAGAAGGGAAAGGCAGGCTCTTAGTGTGGGTTCAAGGGGTTGCCTAATCACTCATGTACTAGAACATTTTGTGACAATGTTCAAGTGAGGACACTGGGGACATGCCTGAAAATGTGGTATTTATGTGAATGTTTCAGGCACACTTCTAAAAGACCTGGATGCTGGCAGATTCTAGCAAAATTAAAAGCTGAAGGCAGCCTGAGCAAGGGTTCTGGGAAGTTCTCTTGAGAAGTGACACTAAGACTGCTAGGTTAGAGAGGCTGCTCTGCAGTTTGGTTTTAAAGGAGGAGAGTCTGGAAGGAGTAGCAATATATTCTTTAAGGTTGTCACAGGATAATGTGGGCTAAGAGGGCTTGAGCTAAGGGAATATTGCCCATAGGGATAGCTGTGAGACCCCTTCCTAGGCTCCGAGATGATTCCCGTGCCCCTCCACTGAAGCCTTACCAGTGATCACCCAGGGATGAGCTTAATATGGGTACAGCACTTTGGTTCTAACCTCCAGCACTAAATGGCTCTGCCATGAGTGAACTTCAGTGTTTTTAGGACTGCCCTTGGGAGAAGGAATGAAGGGCAGTCTCTGGCAGTGGTAGGTGGTCTGGCTTGCTCTGATAGGTTCCCTATGTTTTCTGGTAGAAAAAAAGGAATAGGGGAATGTCCCAACTCTTCACCTTATTAAAATGAATTCCATTCTGTACCATTGGTCTACATATCTATTTTGGTGCCAATACCATGCCATTTTTGTTACCATAGCTTTGTAGTATAGTTTAATGTCTGGTATTGTGATGCCTCCTGTTTCACTCTTCTTGCTAAGGATTGCTTTGGCTATTCTGGGTCTCCTATTTTTCCAGATGAATTTCATGATTGCTTTTTCTATATCTATAAAGAATAACATTGGGATTTTAATTGGAATTGCAGTGAATCTGTATAGTGCTTTGGGTAGTATGGCCATTTTGACAATATTAATTCTGCCTATCCAGGAGCATGGGAGATCTTTCCATCTTCTGAGGTTTTCTTTAATTTCTTTCTTTAGTGTTCTGTAGTTTTCATTGTAGAGGTCTTTCACCTCTTGTTAAATTGATTCCCAAGTTTTTTTCTTTGTTGTTATTGTTGTTGTTTGTTTTTGTTTTTTGAGGCTATTGTGAATGGGGCAATTTTCCTAATCTCTCTTTCAGAGATTCATCACTAATGTATAGAAATGCATTTGATTTATGGGTATTGATTTTACATCCTGCTCCTTTGCTGAATTCATTTATTAATTCTAGAAATCTTCTGATGGAATTTTTCAGATCCTCTAAGTATAGAATCATGTTTTCGGCAAGTAATGATAGTTTGAGTTCTTCTTTTCCTATTCATATCCCTTTAATTTCTTTTGTCTGTCTAATGCTCTGGCTAGAGTTTCAAGAACTATGTTATATAGAATTGGTGAAAGAGGGCATCCCTGCATTGTTCTAGTTTTTAGAGGGTATGCTTCCAGTTTTTCTCCATTTAGAATGATTTTGGCCTTGAGGTTAGCATAGATTACTTTTACTTATTTTACTTTTACTTATTTTTTACAATGTTGAGGTATGTTCCTATGATCCCTAGTTTTTCTAGTGTTGTGAACATGAAAGGGTGCTGTATTTTGTCAAATGCTTTCTGTGCATCAGTTGATGTAATCATATGATTCTTTTATATATATACTTTTAATTTTTTTTAGTTGTAGATGGACACAATACCTTTATTTATTTTTAATGTGGTGCTGAGGATCAAAAGTGCAAGGCTCATGCTCTACCACCTAGCCACAATCCCCGCCCCTGATTCTTATCTTTAAATCTGTAGATGTGATGAATTATATTTATTGATATCTGTACATTAACCAAACTTGTATCCCTGGACTGAACCCCACTTGATCATGGTGCACTATTTTTTTTTATTGTTTTTGTATGTGATTTGCCAGAATTTTATTGAGAATTTTTATATCTATGTTCATCAGGGATATTGGTCTGAAATTTTCTTTCTGCCTGGTTTTGGTATCAGGATGAGACTAGTTTCATAGAATGAGTTTGGAACACAGAGATAAACCCACATGAATACAGCTATCTCATACTAGACAAAGGTCCCAAAAACATACATTGGAGAAAAGATAGCCTTTTCAACAAATGGTGCTGGGAAAACTGGAAATTCATATGCAGCAAAATGAAATTAAACCCCTGTCTCGCACCATGCAAAAAACTCAACTCAAAGTGAATCAAAGACCTAAGAATTAGACAAGAGACCCTGCACATAATAGAGGTAAAAGTAGGTCCAAATCTTCATCACATTGGATCAGGCCCTGACTTCCTTAACAAGACTCCTAAAGCACAAGAAATAAAATTAAGAATCAATAAATGGGATGGATTCAAAAGCTTCTTCTCAGCAAAAGAAATAATCAATGAGGTGAAGACAGAGCCTACATTTGGGGAACAAATTTTTGCCACACTCACATCAGATAGATACTAATCTCAAGGATATATAAAGAACTCAAAAACTTAACACACACACACATACACACACACACACACACACACACACACACACAAAACACCCACAAACAACCCAATCAATAAATGGATTAAGGAGCTGAACAGACACTTCTCTGAAGAGGATATATATTTGCTCAACAAATATATGAAAAAATGTTCAACATCTCTAGTTACTAGAGGAATGCAAGTCAAAACTGCTCTAAGATTTCATCTCATGCCAGTCAGAAGGCAGTTATCAAGAATACAAAACAATAAATGTTGGTGAGGATGTGGGAGAAAGGCACACTCTTACATTGCTGGTGGAACTGGACCTTGGGCAACCAATCTGGAGAGCAGTATGGAGATTCCTTAGAAAACTTGGAATGGAACCACCATTTGACCCAGCTATTCCACTCCTTGGTCTATACCCAAAGGACTTAAAATCAGCATACTATAGGGACACAGCGACATCAATGTTCATAGCAGCTCAATTCACAATAGCTAAACTGTGGAAGCAACCTAGATGCCCTTCAATAGATCAATGGATAAAGAAACTGTGGTATATATACACAATGGAATATTACTCAGCATTAAAAGAGAATAAAATTATGGCATTTGCAGGTAAATGGATGGAGTTAGAGAATATTATGCTAAGCAAAGTAAGACAATTCCCCAAAACCAAAGACCAAATGTTCTCTCTGATAAGTGAATGCTGATCCAAAATGGGGGGAGGACAGGGGAAAAATGGAGAAACTGTGACTGGGCAGAGTGGAGGGTGGGGTGGGGTGAGGAAGTAGGGGCAGGAAAGATGGTGGAATGAGATGGACTTGTATGATTAGCTACATGTACGATTGCACATGTGGTGCTACATCGCTACATTGTGCACAACCAGAGAAATGAAAAATTGGGCTGTAATTGTGCACAATGAATCAAAATACATTCTGCTGTCATATATGCCTAATTAGAATAAGTAAATAAATAAATAAATATTTTTAAAAAGGCATTCCAGGCAATACTTTGTACCTACTGAATTCTATTTTTTTTTTTTTTTGTACTGGAGATTAAATCCAGGGACACTTTATCACTGGGCTACATCTCCAGATCTTTTTATTTTTTTAATTTTTATTTTGATACAGTTTTTGAGGATGTTGCTAAATTCCTGAGGCTGACCTTGAACTGAACTTGTGATCCTCCTGCCTCAGGCTCCAGAGTTGATGGGATTACAGGCATGTACACCACTCCCTGTTCTAGCTACTTTTGGTCTGCAAGACAGATAATTATTTACATATTCTGTACTGGCCCTACTGACTCCCATTAAAGGTAGGAATTTTTTCTTATTCTGTGTGCAGTTTTATCAATACCCAGTAAAACACTTGGTATAGAATAGTTGTTCCATAATTCATTTTTAATTTTTATTTTATTGAGATGGGAGTCTTGATATGGTAGCTAGGCTGGTCTTGAATTCTTGGACTCATGTGATCCTCCCACTATGGCCTCCTAAGTAGCTGGGACTACAGGGGCACTCCTCTAAGAGAGGCTTTAAATATTTAAGTAATTGATATAAAACAGTTGACTAAAGGAAAACAAAGCAATAGCCAATGCACTCTTATTAAATGTCAGACTCTGGGAATACAGTGGTAATTTGGCATCTTCAATTCCTTTTTCAGGAATTGGACCAGGAACTTCCATTGGATGCACACAAATTAATGAAGTCCTAAATAAAAGCCATGGAAGGAGAAAACCAAAAACCTTTTTTTGGGGAAGAGGGTGGGATAGATGTATGTGGAGGAAGCGATGTAGGGATGAGATGGTTGAAGGGGGAGTATGATTTTGTAGTTTTAAAATAAGACTTGCCAACCTGCTAATTATATATAGTATCAGAAAATGCCAAAGATGTTCACTGTTTGGAAAACACATTTGAAGTAACTTGCAAGTACACTCTATTTTCTTTTCTTCTTTCCTCTTTGTGGGAGGGGGTATATTGGGCATGTACTTTACAAGAATTAAAAAAAAAATTTAAAGAAAAAAACATTGCCCATAATTTCACCAACCTACAGTCATACTATTTGTATGCACATGATGTTTCCACCTTTGTAAACTTTATTTAGATTCAGTTTTTCAATTCTTTTCTACATTATTCTCTTATTATTTCATTGAGAAAGTTTCAATGTTTTAAATGGTTAATAATAATGGTGCAATAAAGATCTGAGTGCCTAGGATGTCTCCTTTTTCCTAGATTGTTGTCTAAGGGTAGAATCTTGGGTTGAAGGGTATGAACATTTTCAGGATTGGAATTGAGTTTGAGTACCTCCACCATAAAGGGCTGGTTTGAGCTTCTGCAGCACCATGTTGGGTGCCTCCCTCTGATGAAAAAACACAGCATACTGCAGCCAGCTTCATGTACACAAGTGCATTCTTGCTCCTTTACAAGAGCTCTGGGAAAGGGTTTTCTGGATTCAGGACACTGATGCAAGGGCGCCAAAGAAGCTGGCAGTTGCCATTCAGATAAGCAGTGTGTGGACACAGCCTGGGCATTGGAGGGGCCTCTTTTTCTAGCACTCCATCCATTTTCCTTCCCCCACCCTACAATGTTCATTTGTCCTTGAATTACTTAAGTTCAGTTCCAAGGTTCTCTAAATTTTCAGCTCCTTTGAGAACAAAATACCATGCATGTTTGCATGATCTATATCCTCTGATGCTGAAATGTATGGTGGGTGTGGGGCATGGTTCAGTGGTAGAGCATTTGCCTGTATATGAAAGGCCCTAGGTTTGAACTGAAAAAAAAAAAAAGTACAGTATATATATCAAACACGGGATGTCCATTTCAAAATGTGTACAATAAACTTTATTGAGCTCAGAGCTTTGAGAGAGAAGATTTTTACATCATGAAATTGTTTGATCTTTAACATAGTTGTTATCTGCAAGGGATTGATTCCAGGACCCCCTTTGCATACCCAAATTGGAGAATGCCTAAGTCCTTTATTTAAAAAGGTGTAACATTTGCATGTAGCGTATTTACATTATTTTGGTACTGGGGGATTGAAACCAGAGGTGCTTTATTACTCCAGCCCTTTCAAAATTTTGAGACAGGGTCTTGCTTAGAGCCTTTTTAAGTTGCTGAGGCTGGCCTCAAACCTGAATTCCTCCTGCCTCAGCCTCCTCAATCTCTGGGATTTCAGGCGTGCACCATTGCACCTGGCCTCCTGTGCACTTTAAGTCATCTCTGGATTATTTATACTACCTAATACAATGTAAATGCTATGTAAATAGTTTTACTTCATTGCTTATGGAAAAGACTATTTTATAATCTTACTAAATTACTTATTTTTAAAAAATATTTTTGACTCTAAAAAAATATATATATATTTTTTGAGTTGTACATATTTGTTTATTTTTATGTGGTGCTGAGAATCGAATCCAGTGCCTCACATGTGCAGGGCAAGTGCCCTGCCACTGAGCCACAATCCCAGCCCCTATAATTGCCTATTAATTTCAGTTTTTATATTGATTCTTTCACATTTTTCTGTATAGACAATATGCCATTTGCAAATGAAGACAGCTTTTTTCTTTCTCACCAGTCTGTTCAGCTTTTCTTTCCTTATTAGCTGAGAATTTTAGTACAATGAGGAATAGGACTGGTGAGAGGGGACATATTTGCCTTGTTCTCAGTCTCAGAGGGAGAGACTATGTAGTTTCCTCATCACAGATTTATTATCTTGTAATGTCTTTGACTCGTTTTAGTATTGGGATGATGCTGGCTTCACCAAACAATTTAAGAAGTATTTTCTCTGCTTCTACCTTCTGGAAGAGAATGTAGAAAAATTAGTATAATTTCTATCTGAAGTGTTTGGTAGAATTCACCAAGGCCTTTCTTTTTTTCTGGAATGTAATCCATTGATTGAATTTCTTTTTTCTTCGTTTTTTGTGGGTGGGGTGCTGGGATCAAACCTTGGGGTGCTTTACTACTGAGTCACACAACTCCAACCCTTTTTAAAACTTCAAGACAGGGTCTTGCCAAGTTAGGCCTTGGAATTTGTCATCCTCCTGCCTCAGCCTACCGAGTCTCTGGAATTCTAGGCATGTGCTACCATACTCCGTGTGATTCATAGACACAAGCCTGCAAAGATAATTTCTCTTTGTACTACTTTTGGTAATTTTGCCTTTCAAAGGAATTGATCCATTTTATCTAACTTATCAAATCTGTGGGTAGATTTGCTCATAATATTTCTTTACTATCTTTTAATGTCCCTGGGATCAGTAGTAATGGCCCCTTTTTCTTTTCTGGTAGTCACTTTTTAATATTATATTAGTGGTCTTTTGGGATGCCAAAAGATTTCCTGATGTTGCTAAAAGTCTTTTGTTAGATTTTATCCATCTCATCTCCATATTCCTAACTAACTTTCCATTCTACTGGCCTTCTGAATTAATCTTGATGCTTACATATTAATAAGAAGGGACAAAAAAAAATAGGAAGCCAGTCTCTGAAAAGATGCTACAACAAATACCAAATTCTCTAGCGTATCTGTTTGGATGTTTCTTACAGACTTAAAAAAAGGGTAGTTTAGCCACTATCAGATACGTATAAACTATCTCCACGTCAGGAAAAAAATGGCTTTCGTATCATATGCTTGGAATAAAGGAATAATTTCAAGATTGCACTATGCAGTTCATGTTAGGGGAAAGACATTTTTGTGCTAGACTTGGACACAGAAATTCCAGACAAATGAATATATGAAGAACAAAGTATGAGAGAATGTGAAGCCTGCAGACTGTGAATGGATTTTTGTGATAAAAAAAGAAAAACAAATTGAATATTGAGGCTGATTCTACAGCAGTTTCATGCATAAACTCCAATTTCAAATGTGGTCATCAAATCAGCTTTATAATTAACTTTTTAATACTTTGGACTTAAGGTAGAAAATGGATTAATCATAATCCTTGGTTCATGACATTCTCTGCAGAGTGCCGGCTGTTAGTCGTCTGAGTATGGTGAAGCTATCATCCCCATAAAGTTCCCATTTGCTAGCCTTCCACCTGAAGATATTGACAGTTTTCACCACTACCTCTTCTTTTGATATAAATTTCATCTGTTACTTGAACTTTTCCTGTGGGGTGTTGGGGATTGAACCAAGGACCACACACGTGCTATGTACTTTATCATTGAATTATACTTACGACGTTTTTCTTTTGGTGGTGGTGGTACTTTTATCACTGAGTTATACTTCCAACATTTTTCTTTTGGTTTGAACAGGGGCCTTGTGCATGAGAGGCCAGGACTCTGCCAACTGGGTTATATCCCCAGCCCTACCTCCAACCTTTTTATAAGGGAATATTTTGTCCGTTGATAATTCTTATACTTTTTTTTAGGATTAAACTCAGGGGCACTCAACCATTGAGCCATATCCCCAGCCTTTTAAAAAATATTTTGAGATAGGGTCTCCCAGATCCTGAGTTGCTTAGTGCCTCGCTGTTGCTGAGGCTGGCTTTGAACTCACAATCCTCCTACCTCAGCCTCCTGAGCTGCTGGAATTACAGGTGTGTTCTACTGCACCCAACCTTACTGTATTTTTAAGACACTTCATTTTTGCTTTTGTTTACCATATTTTTGTTTTGTTGTGTCATTATATCTTTTGTGTCAGTATGGATCATTAGTTTTTGTTGCTATGTGATAGTCCATTGAATAACTATGTCACATTTTATTCGTTCAGCTCTTCCTCATTGAGGGCTTGGGTAATTTCTGGGTTTCTGTTTTTGTACATGTTGTTATGAGAATTCTTCCCAGTTCATGTCTCCTGTTTAATCTATGTGCAAGTTATTCTTGGGTATATAATGAAGTTTCTGAATTATAGGATGTGCTAAAAGCCAACTTTAAAAGATAATGCCAAGCTTTCTGAAGGACTGAACCACTTTTCATCAATGTAAGCAATACAAAGGTCACATGGAAACCTTCCAATACTAGAAAATACCAGACTATGTCTCTTTACTAGTAACTGCTGTTTTAATTAATATGGTTTCACAGTGAGTCCTGACATTTGGCAGGCCAAGTCTTAACCTCCCTGCTTTTTTGAAATACCCTAACCATTTATTCTTTTTTTTTTTTAGGTCTATTGTACTTTTTAAAAAAAATATTTATTTTTTTTAGTTGTAGGTTGTCACAATTCCTTTTATTTTTATGTGGTGCTGAGGATCAAACCCAGTGCCTCATGTGTGCCAGGCGAGTGCTCTACCAATGAGCCCCAGCCCCCAATTTATTCTTTTACCTTACTTCAGAATCACTTAAATAAGTTTCATGATACAATCTGGTGGGGCTAGGCACAATTGAGAATACCTGTAATCCCAGTGACCCAGGAGGTAGAGGACAGAGGATGGTAAGTCTGAAGCCAGCCTCAGCAATTTAGCAAGACCCGATTTCAAAATGAAAAAGGACTAGGGATATAGCTCAGTTGTAAAGTGTCCTTGGGTTAAATCCCCAGTGTACTTTTCCCCCAAAATCTTAAAATTTGGTTGAATTTTAATGGGAATTACTTTGAATTTATGGGTGTGTTTGGAATGACTGACATCTTTTTATTGCCTTTCTATCCATGAACATGTGGATTTATTGAGATTTTATTTATCTCAATGTTTTAGAATCATTTAGATCAGCATACAGTCAATGTCCAAGGTAATTGGTACTACACTGATGTTATTAGTAAATGGTATTTCTGTTTTTCTAATAAGTATAAAGAAACCAAGTGACTTCTAAAAATTAATGTTGTATTTGGGCTGGGCTTGTGGCTCAGAGGTTAGAGAGCTTGCCTACCATGCGTGAGGCACTGCATTTGATCCTCAGCACCACATAAAAAGGAAAGATATTGTGTCCACATACAACTAAAAAATATTTCTTTAAAAATTAATGTTATATTTAGATAACTAGACAGTATTATTTCTAGTAATCTATTTCCAGATTTGTATTTTCTATAAAAACAATTATGTAGTTGGGTGCAGCAGCACACACCTGCAATCCTTGCTACACAGGAGACTGAAGCTGGAGGATTGCCAAATTCAAGGCCAGCCTGGGCAACTTAGAGAGACCCTGTCTCAAAATTTAAATCAACCAACCAACTAACCAACCAATAAATTAATAAGGACTGAGGAGTAGCTCAGTGGCAGTGTTCATAGGGTCAATCCCCAGTACCACAAAAACAAAAACACACCCCAATCATGTAACAGGCAAATGATGAGTGCTTCCTTTCTTCTTTTGACTATTTGTCTTGTTCCATTGGTTGGGCTCTCCAACACAAAATTAAATATAAGCCACGAGAGGGGCAGCCTTCATTTGTTTCTGAAAGAAAAATATAATTTTCTCCCAGTACTGGGGATAGAACCCAGGGCCTCAAGCATGTTAACTTTAGCTACACCCATAGTCCGTTTTTGACTTTAAAAGGAAAGGACTTTTCTTTTTGGTTCTGAGAAGTTGTTTTTTTTTTTTTT